TTGAAAAGCACCTTAATCGAATAACAGGAGGGAACAAGCAGACCACTACGCTAGCTGAATGTTCAGCTGATTTCACGAACTTTCAAATGGACGTCGAACAGATGGCTTATCCACTAAATAATAGACTGATTTCATAATCCTGTATAGAATTGAAATAAACAGTCAAAAAACATTCCAAATTGTTGTAGCTCAGCGGAAAAAATACCGAAAGGTGACTGTTAAGAGCTCTGCTCGTTCAGAAGCAGTGAGCGCTACAAGCAGTGTTAAAGCTTGGAAGTACGTGGAATATGTAAGGCTCAAGCGTTACGCCGGGATAGAATCAGCTTGGAAGCCCTTGTGATGACGCAGACGCGTCGTTCTGTCTGGAACAGATAGACGGCAGATGTGCACTCTTCCCGACTCCACAGGCATCGAAAATGCATTGAAATGCTTTAATAGTCTCGAAAGGAGCACACACGCTTGTCTTCTCATCAGCTGCTGAACGTTATTTTTATTGACACTTGCGCAACTATGCTTGTGATGAAATAGAAAAAATCGCTCCAAGAACCACAATGTTAGAATTCGTTCCAAGTCAGGGTCAACCCTACGTTGTTACGAGTAACAAGGGGGGCGTACCTGGTTGAGTTTGTAGGGGTAGGGGGGGGGTTCGTATAACCGCTTCAGTTGTGTAGGTAGGGAAGGTCGACGCGCTCGCAGTCGCTCGAAATCACATTGAGTTCACAAGTGGAAAGTGAAAGTTTTCATGGGCAGTAGGCATGTGAGTTGGGCGCGTAGGAAGAATATTTGCCGTTGTTTCAGTGCGTGTGTACCCCCCCCCCCGCTCCCCGAGCTTGGTGGGTTGGCTGGTATCAGAATTAAGTACTATGGAGATGATGATTATGGTGGTCGAGGTGTGGAAAAGGTATCTTATAAACCACCTTGGGAAGGGGTCGTAAAAATTTTCGCTCTCACCTCCACTCCCTCATTCCGGCCTCACCCTCCAATCACCCATCACTGCTATATTATTGGAATGCGCTATAAATTATGTGCATCAGGCATCATTTTACTTCATGCCCTCTCCAAGAAGTCCGCTGTTGAACGGTATTACGGCTATTCTGTAGCATCTGGTCTGAAAAAGCCTCTTTGTAGCTCAAGTGGCACACCCCTCACCCTCCTCCGCCCACCCCTACACCCACATATTCGCACCCTCTTGACGTAACCAGACGAGATGTTGACCGAATATTAGGTCATCTCATTCAAACATGTCCACGGTTTTATTCGAATAAAATGAACAGCAGGAAAGATAAAAAGCTAATACTTTGGTGTTAAGTCAAGCAGATCTTGTCGTTGTTAACGACCCGATCCCAGCGTCTAGAAAACACTGGACACCGCGCAGCTTCTTCATTTCAACAGTATAGACAAGATGCTTTTGATGTCAGTATAGATGATCAACGAATTGTCGTAGCGCTTCCTGAACGAGTAGGGCGTTCAGTTCGATAAAACAGCTGGTCAGTAGAAAATGGTACGATTCACACCTAATTAAGAATACTCCGCGGATAACTGCGAAGTGACCTCATTAAGGGAGACGGCCTAGGGGTCACAACACCACCCAAACATGTGTACTAGACACGTAGAAATGGCAGTCAAATTGGAAAACCATACAACAAAAACAACATGAATAAAGAATATGTATTTATAAGGAACACAACGCATTTGCTAAAATGTACAACAAAAACAATCTAAACTAATGACCCCGTATCACCAATTAATTAACCAGACCAAGTAGTATAACTTGAAAGCTAAGCAAGATATTAAGAAACTACAAACCTCCTGAACACTTTACTGAAAAACTAATCAAACAGGAGTGGAGGGAGTCAAGGAAGATCCGCATACTTTCGATGAAAACCTCACGTCTCTAGCCAAACGTTACTGTCCTCCCTCAAGCAAGTCAGTTAGAGATATGCCTTCATGTGCCTCCTTTATGACTTTTTAGGACCTCAGGCTACCCCCCCCCCCACCCATACCACTTCGCAGGACCCCTGGTAAAAAGAAACCTCGAGGAGAGGTTATAAGGAATTTCCAGCTAGCATAGATGCAACATGCAACAGTGAGCCTTACCAACCTTTGTTGTGTCGTAATGTCTTCTAGTGCGTTCCAGTTTCTCTGGGGTTTCAAACCTCTTATCGTTTTATTTGGCCCCTCACACATTTTCCACCCCAGCAACACTTGATTATATAAAGTGTCAGGAATTCCTTCACTATTTAGAGAGCACCTGGATGAGTGGGCCATTTAAAGAATTTGTGGTTCAAAAGGGGAATGGAAGACTGTATTATGTTTATGAATTTGTGTTATAAATAAGTATTTTTTAACTATTATTATGAATGATTTGTTTCCTCAATTAAGTTGCGTTTTACCTGATTATTAGAGAAGTCTGGGTGGTGCTGTGACCCCTAAGCCGTCAGCCTTAATGAGGTCACTTCGCACATAAGGTGCGAAAAAAATTTGGCTCGTACCATTGTTGTTAATTACCCGCAATATGAGCTATGTAGGGTCTGGTATCGACATAGGTGATGATATCGTTATTGTAGTTTTATACTGCTATTCCTTTGTCAATTTGTTCGCTAAGAAACAAGCCATAAACTTGAGAAACGCCGGAGGTTTTTTCCCGACAGAGCCATTTAAGAGGCACATCTCAGAAATCCATCGCCATAATAATCATCCACGTGAACCCACGTGACTTCTCGTGATCCGATTCGGGCAGTTCCTCATTCGCGTTAATCCAAAGTGGACGCTTCTGACTTAGGCCTCAGGTAGCAATTTCAGCAACACAAATTTCGTTTATGAGCAGGGTCCAGTTTGATAGTCTTAAATGCCGTTATCGGCAGAGAAAATCATTGCTACAGACACCAATTCGATTCTGGACTCCTGCATCTGGGAGTAAATGGAGATATCCAAAAACATGTTCTGTGGACCATCCCCAATTTTTGGGCACAATTCGCGTAACAGGTGCAGCTAGACTGCAAGTCTCGTGGGCAAACATCGCAAAGGTGCAACATCTGTGATGCGCCATTTGAAACCTCATTTCATCCACCCGCTCTTCTTCGGCAAGGCGGGCAATGTGAGCGCGTCCTCAACCACAACTCCCATCCGTTCTTCCTTCTTTGAGCTCTCACACCATATCTTCAACGTAGCACTTCGAGAACACTGTATCACGCGTAAGCTGAGCCAGCACACAGAGAATTCGAGTTGCGAATTTTACGTATGTCACCAATCATTTGAAAATTCCGCCTCGATTTTGGTCACTATGAGTTTTCTTATGTTTTTAAGTGTATCCTTCTGCGGCACTACAAACTTAATTGGGGTATACCGTAGCTAGGTGTGCTAGCTTCAAAACAAAAGCAAGCAGAATGCTCTAGCTCTTTACTTTTCCCACCATTTCTCTAGATGTCTGGACATGTTTGAATGAGATGACCTAATAGTCCCTCCCCCTAGGAAGTGTTGAAATCGGCTCTGAAAAGGAAGACCCATCGGAACGATATGTACTGAAGGCACAATAGCGTGTTCCCCGTCGGTTTTATCCAGCAGTTCATCGAACACATTTAATATTTATTGCCACCACTTTCTCTGCTTCTTTGCGAGATATCTGTTGGGTTTACAGCCCAAGGTTTCGTCAGTTATGAGCAGTTCCAAATGGAAGAATAAATGCGCATAAGAACTTTTACCAGGTCTATGTTCCCATTTGAGAATGAAGTATTTCGCCTTAGAGCACTAGAATCGCGAGTCCCAGAATCGCCTCCAGAGAAATCCCTCCATTCACTGAAGACAGGTTCGACAGCACCGTGGTTGTGATGGATCACGGCTAGAAAGTGCGTCGCAAAGCGCCTCGCGCGGCTTTTCTTGACCGCTGCAACCGCTGCCACTCTTATCGCAGCATACGCGGCGTCCCTGCCTTCTCCTACGACATGCTCTTCTCCCTCTCATCGCAGCGCTTGGTTTTTCCGGCTTTTTCTTTCACAAGGGAGGAGACTTTGAAGTTCATCGTTTTCTTAGCCCTCTTCTGCTTTTTCCTCAGTGACGGATCCTCTTCGTACATTTTGTTTCATTTTCAAGCGGAATTACATGCCAATCGATTGCAGTAAGTGCCTTAAAAGGATAAAAGCTCGAAAGGTTTGGTCATAATGGTTGGGATGCGCCATGCTTCCTACTCCTATTCGGAACCATAATGAAATTTCGAATGCGATTTGCTCGTATAATAACTTGCGGAGGTCAGCCGATGTACAAGTCAGTACAGCAATCGAAAACAAGTACAAGTCAGTGTTTTCATCCTCCAAGACAAACCTCCTGCCAATTCACACCAATACCGGGGGGATGGAAGGCCTTGTTGTTTTGGGCCACGCACGATTCGGGATTTGATCCTCGGGTCATGCGTGTGGTGAGCAGCGCCGCTTGTCACTGCACAGTTCCAGCACTCTTTTCCACAATCACAATAATGAAACAATTTATGGAATATCGATTACTCATAAGGCACATGAAAGTCGGTAGATACTGTAATATTTTTCGAATTCATGGACACAATATTAATTTATAGAATTTCTTAGAGTCTCTCAGAGAACTGTCTCTGATTCTCAGAGAATCCATTAGGAGATCGCTAAGATCACAGCCTCGCGACGACTTCTTTGCCAAGGCCTTTCCTCACGAGAATCGGCTTCTCATGGACGAAATTATCAAATCCATATTTGCCATTCAGTCGACCCATACCGCTGTTACCGACACCACCGACTGGGAGGGTGCTCACTGGAAAGTGGGTAATTTTTGGAAAGCCTGGATTCGATAATTTTCGAATTACTCACCGAAAACATGGCTCATCACATCGTTCACCGTCACACCACCGCTGGACGTCTCCAGAAGGAAGCGTTTCACCTGAAAATTGAAGTATTTTTTTATAAACTTCATAATCAAGCCATACCGCCTACCTTGTCGGGGTTTTCCGTGAACAGATAGGCGCCGAGGGGTTTCTCGTTGTCCCTGACCCATTCAATTGCTTCATCGAACGATTTCACCGTCACGATTGGTAGAAGAGGTCCAAATATCTGAAAATCTCTCTTCAATTGGCTGTAAAAAATCCAAATTTAAAAGGAAGGACCTCTTCCTGCATGAGAACGTCGTCCTTCTCAATTTCGATAACATGTGGAGGAAGGAAGCACTCAGCTCTGCAGGGTTCTTCCTTGGGCTTGTAGACGATTTTGCCTTTGGTGTTTTTGAGCAATGTTGACAGTCGACTGAAAACGGCACTTATTCATGAGCATTCATTTGGAATTTCTACGAGAAGCGAAACAAATGCAAGGCCAGGGTACCTCGTTGGGCTATCCCTTCAAAGGTCTCCTTGAATCGGGATTAAAGGCACAGGCCACGATAAATTTAGGTGAAAAAAAACTTATTTGGATTGGATAACCTACTCGAAGTGTCTCTCGTGGATTATTTTACCGAAGGTTTTGTTCTGCTTGAACGGTGCCATCGCTTCGAAGTGTTTCGTAACAGCGCAGCGATCAGCTTCGGTTTGATTTGCTTCAGTGTGTGGAGCACCTGGAAAAAGATAGAATTGATGTAAGGATAGGTCCGGGGACCAATGGAGCCCGATACCAGGCGTGATAGAACTGCCTGAGAAGTAACCCAAGCGAGTAGCCTATCCCACTTTTCTCAATTCTTCCCCCCCCTTCTTCGCCCATACTCGTGGTCCTAGCTGAACCTGGTGCTTCTGGCCACACACCATAACTCGCCCTCAAAACTTTGGTAAGTGTCGTTAAAACCTGCACCGACGTGGGAGATACACAGGGCTCAAAAGAAAACTGTTCCATCGATTTCAGGTAATAGCTAATTTTTTCTTCAATATTGCAGAAAGAACAACCTTATTCATAAATATGGTAGGCCCGAAGCAAGGTCAATTGCTACGGCCAAAATCGCTTCGAGTGCACTATGATTTTGAGTGGAATGCGAGGCGCATTCCAAGAAGTTTCAACCCTTACGTAATCCGATGAGATGCAGATTTGACCACAGTTATACGTCTTTGAAGTAGATAATCCTCTTTGCAACTTCGTCAATGTCTGAGTCTGAGTCGATGACACGGGGCTGAAATTGAAAAAAAATATTTCTCAATAGCTTGTAATTGTAGCGGCTGCCAGGTAAGCACCGGAGCGGGTTACGGTACTCGTTCCAGGGCCGAAGTTTTTTCCAACTTCGCAATTTCCCGTGTAACATTATTCAGAATTATGGCTTGAGAATGAAGCACTTTAGCTAAGCTGGACCCGGAGTCCAAGAATATGATTCCGCGACTGCTAAGGCTAACCACTCCACTACAATATCATACAGTTTTGCTATCGGCTGTAAACCGTGAAATCTCGATGATATAAGGCTTAACGCTCCTGCTGGGGAAGCAAGAGGTTCAAGTTCCAGGTCCAGTAGTTTAAATACAAATGAAACTTATAGTTGAATTTTAAAGGTATGAAAACCTATGAAGCTGAGTATCTTCAGTGAGGTCAAATTTATTTACCATTGTATTTGGTTCAATTGGCTATCCAATGATGTCGGGAGGAACCTACGAGCGTCGGCCAGAATCGAGATAGCGTGGGCGGAAAACTTAAAGGGTCATGTTCTATTTCTAGATGGTCACAACTATTCATTGTCGAATAGTCAAAGAACTCGTCTTCCTCGGTAATCTCCAGCTCGCGTCCTTTCCCGATTGCTATAATGTAGGTATGGGATTTCTTGGATGGATATGAGCGCAGTGATCAGGAATGGCGGAACGACGGGTATGTAGTGCCCCCTAGGACGCCTCAGTTTGCGCCTGGAATGGTGTGGTTCGGGTTAAGACCTTTCGCCATTAAGTTATGCGCTGAAACGTTTCCGCTTTTCCTGATTGCCGTGCTAAGTGCATACAAATTCATTAGTGAAGGAAAACAAAGTAACACTCACTTTTTACCGCCGAGTTCAAGAAGTACTGGTGTGAGATACTTGGCCGCTGCCGTCATAATCACCTTGGCCACCGTCGGATTACCGGTATACGTGATGTGATCGAATCGTTCAGCGAGCAACGCTGTCACTTCTGGTACGGCGCCTTCGACAGCAGCGAACAACTTCTGAAAAAGTTCCAAACATCAAAGGAGGTCCACCAGCAATTAGCTGCGCTCAGTGGGAAATAAAAGTTGGTGGCTGAGTTACAGTCTTGGAGTGAAAACTGCTCAAAGCTTGCTTAATTGGTACCTCTTTTACCTGTTTCTTTTTTCGCAAGACGAGTTTCTATTGATCGCTGCCGTCAGCAACATCAGCGCGTTGCTCTAACTCGAGCAGGATCAGGTCCTATATGGTTGCTCTTCTCCAAAAGTTTTTACGAACCCCTCCTTCAAAACTATTTTTACCCCAAAAAATTACCGTCGAGCAGGAGATATATACTTACCGTGAAAACCGCAAAAATTCTCTACATTTCCCTACAATTACCAGTGTATTTCAACCTAACGGACCCCCGCTGCTATTGTTAGCAAATAGGTTGATCCTTGACTCGAGGCCGGAGAGGACAGCTGCTAGGACAGAGAATGGAAGGCGGATAGAGGCAAGAAGGGGGTCCAGAGGGACGGATAAAGCCTCGTAACGACGCTACGAGCGCACCCTCCTCCGTGAAGGTCCCAAGTTCCGTTCGTGCAGGGGCTCACGGTAGGTAGGTTTCCCTTCTTTAACCTCTAGTTTATTATTATTTATTTATCTGCCCTTCTGCCCTTAGATGTGTTCAGGCGCCTATTGTTGTCGCTTTCTGTTGCCCGCCCACAGCTACTTTGTTCCTGCACATATTTAGCGCTTGATTACGGTACACAAAATCAACCAGAGGTTTGTTTGCTCAAATGTAAACACAAACCTCGTCGAAGTTCTTGGCAACGAGACGAGCGAAAACGGACGAGAACGTCGGGGAAAGCTCGGACAGTTTCAAGATCACGGTATTTCCTACAAAAAAAGCTGTATGATTAATATGATTAGGAGATCTGAATGAAAACACGGTGTCGGTTTCGAAGGAGGCAAATCGGTGATTTTCAACAATACTGGTTAGCATCTTGACGATGGCATGGCATCATAGGATGCCGCGCCTTTTAGGCTGCGCGGGACGGCGAGGTACCTTATGGTACCATACTCTTTTCCACATAAATGACTTCCTTTGTATTGCTTGTATTTATTCTATAGATTACTCCCGAAGAGAACTAAAAACGACGTGGTCTAGAAAACTGTATTTAGGTCATGTCATATGTAACTTAGATTTTCTAAATAGCTTTTCCCGCTGATTTTTCGTACGCGCTCGCGAAATCGCGCCTTTCGCGGCACTCAACAAGCAAAACGAGTGTTGTCGTTAAGGTTTCGATCAGGTCGTAAGGTGCCATGAACCTGCCAGGTTTTGAGTCAGAAGCAGGGTCAACCGTCACGTTGGACCGATTTCGAAAATTTTACGACCCCCTCCCCCTTCTAGAGGGCCTCGATACGACCACCCCCCCCCTCAGGGTCAACCC